ATAAACAAGAAAAACCCACACATCTCGCTTTATAAAAAAAGAAATACTAATAAAAAATAAAAAAAGGGTTTTTAGCACTGTTGCCCTTCATATTTTTTACCTTTAGCAATTTACCTTTTAAATTCTAATTTTGACATGTTAGCTCCCAAACTTTTAAAAATATTGCAATGCGTCTCATTTTATTAACAATTCTCATTAAATTGAGGATTGGAATTTGGAACTTTTGATTCTGATTATAGATTATAGAATTTACTTGTGTCGTTTTAGGGAGAATTTCTCGTATATTTGTATTTGCGGCTGTACTCGGGAAAGATTTAACTGAGTTTCGCCCATGCCCGTTGTAGTTCTTAGTGATTTTGTATTTGGGAAATTCTAAGGTTTATGACCATATATATGGAACTTTGAGAAGATTTCCACCTACGTTGGAAATTAAGGATTTGAGGTAAATGACCTCTTTAAGTTGAATTCATAGACGATTTAATCTGATATTTGAAAATTGAAAATTCCTAAGCTGAATGAACCTATATTAGAAATCAATTTGTGACTGCATCAGGCGCTTCACTAAAGTTATCTACGTATCCTTATTAAAGGAATCAAGTCAAACATGTTTCAAATTTTTTAGATTTGAGATTTTTGTAAATTTTTAGTATTTTTGAGGTGAACGAGCTGTTTGAATTTTTGGGATAATTTTCCATTTGATTTGGATTTGATGATTTTGAGATGAATGACTTCATTTTGGACTTTTTGAGAACTTTTTTTCTCATTTGATATTGCAGAATCAGATCGATGTAGTTTGTTCTTTTTGAAATTCGAGTTTGTTTTGAATTGAAATCTATTTATCTCACTTTTGAGTGATTTTGGAGATTTTATTAGAATTATGATTCAAAGCCTACTCGTGAAATAATGATTTGTAAGTAAGACTTGCCATTGAACCATTAAATAGTATTTTAATTGATTATACAAATTCATTTGTGCCACTTTTTTTTTTTCTTCATTTGCAACAAGACACGGTTTTTTTTGTTTTTATTTTTTCTATCCATTTCTTTAAAATTTTGTTTGCTTACTGGAAATAGGGGTGTTCACGGATTCAAATCCGTGAATTAGAGGTTAATCCGTGTCCGATCTAAAACCTTCAGATTGAGAAAATCTCAATCTGTGTATAATCCAAAACCTTTTCTAATTTTACAGATTTGATTTACGGATTCACGGATTTTACTTATTGAATTCACAGAATTCCACGAATTATAACCTTTAAAATCAGAAATTAATAGACATCCATATAAAATAAAACACATGGAATTTTTATCATCACAACTCAAATAATGATCCTTTTCAGTTGCTTAATTTCCCAACAAGAATAGCCCAAACAGTTTAACAAAAAAATGCAAATAAATTTCACGAATCTTAAAACTCGAGGAGAAACCCTTGGTTGGGTTTTTTATGTAGGGAAGAAGAAACCCTTGCTTTTGTCAAAAACTGAAAAGAAAAAAAAAAAAAAAAAAAAAAAAAAAAGAAAAAAGAGAGAGACTAATTTGGTGGGAAAGGGTAGTAAGGTGGTGGTATATAATTTAACCACCCCAGAAAATGTTGCCAGGTCAGCAATTTTGACCATTAATTAAACGGAATGGGCAAAATGGATAAAATTCAGGGGGTGTACATACTGGTTTTCAAAGTTTGAGGGGCAAAAAGTAACAACGCTACTATAGTTCAGGAGGCAAAAGTAAAATAACCACCGCGTCAGCAATTTCGACCATTAATTAGACAGAATGGGCAAATTTAATAATGTTTGATAGTTTGGGGGGTAAAGTGACAACGCTATTATAGTTCTAAAATTTATCCTATTTTATATATACACATTTAAATTATATATATAGTTTTTGATTCACAAATTTTGCGAATTGAAAAGTGCTCAATCTGCAATCTGATCCAAATATTCAGATTGACAAAATCTCAATATGTGTCCAATCCAATCTAAAACTTCAGCATAGATTGGATTTCACGGATCAATTAGATTGACGAATTCTATGAGACATTATTGTCTTAGTCTTAATATTGAATGGCCCACATTGGTCACTAACAGCGACTCATTTTAATTGGGAAAAATGAGATAAATACCTTCTAGAGTGTACGTGTCTAAATTTTTTACTATTTACTCTTAATTAATACTTTTTTAATAAAATAACTATATCAGTTAAAAGAATATGGGTAATCTTAATAAATATTCCTTAAAAGTGCATGAGTCAGGAATTTTACCTTGATTCATAACTTTTTTAGTCAAATAATTACACTAACAAAAAGGTATTTATCAAGAGTAAAGAATAAAAGACTAGACTCATATATTTTTAAGAATAAATTTACCTTTTTTTTAAAGAATATTAATAAATAATAAATAATAAAAATCAAGACTCAAGATAAATTTATTTTCTCTCCATTTTTTAATTGCTGGGCTTGACTCGTTGATAAAGGCCCTCTAGTCTCTTCAGATTGGGCTTACAGCCGAAATTCCTAAGGGGGACAGTTTTGGGTCAGGCCCATACACCATGAAGGCGGAGGCCATTTTCTTTTAGGCCGGTAACCCAATGGATGATAGAGGCTCATTCTTTCTTTTGGGCTAGACGCTTTACGGTTGACAGCCAATCTTTTGTACTAGGCCTTTAGACCATCACAGATAACGTGCATCTAACAATTAAGGAATTATTTATCACGTCATTTGATGATCTTATTCAAAGTGTATTGTAATTACTTTTTAATATAATAAAAGTAATTAAAGTGTTGTGTTCAATATGATTAAGAGCCCGTTTAGTTTACACGTTTAAGTCAGTGATTCTCCTTCATTGATGAGAACTTTATGGGAGAATCATTTCTGAGAAATTTTTAAATTTAAATTCTTTGTAAGAAGAAAACACTGTATTAGAATTAGAATCATAAATTAAAATACATTTACTAAACATACTCTATGAGGGTTTTTTTTTTTTTTTTGAATGCCCCCTTGGGCCCCGACCCACACGCACACGCACAAGTTGCTAGGCCCCCAAGTTCCAAGAAGCACTCCTCATGTTATGAATTTGTATAACTAATTGGGTGGTTTACAAAGGGTGCTTTTACATACTTATATACAAATATTGTAACTTGTAGACTTCTTTATTTTTTCCTATTCTCTACATACAAGGCATATATGTAATTAACTCAAAACTTAGATAGTAATGTTTAAATATAGTGAATTTTTAAAATATTAAAAACATAACATATTTTGATATCATTAAATTAATGATTATATCATTCTATAATATAAAATGTAACATAATTATAATAATTACTTTTTTATTTCTGCTATTTTTGTAATATTCTGAAAATTTATATAGCAGTGTAATTATTAAAAAGGAAAAAGCTACAATACCGTATGTTTTTTTTTTAAAACAAAAAATTTCCTCTTTAGGAAACTCGTTTGAAGCTTTGAAGAGGAAAAAAAAAAAAATTCCAATCTCCAGCGCCGGCCGCTTAAGTTGCGGGAGATGGCTTATATCAACTTTGTAAATAGTCGATGAAACCTCTCTCACTATCTCTCTCTCTCTGTTTTTTTTTTTACAAAATTTCTGCCTTTTCCTCTGTCGATGTCGATGTCGATGTTGTTTTTGGTTGAAAAGGTTTGTATTGGAACCAAAAAACACAGGAAGAAGTGAGACTTGGGGATGCCGGCAGAAGAGCTCGCGCCGGTGGGGGAGTAGGAAATCGCATCGCTATCGAAGGAAGGTGAGTTCGCGCTGCCGTGACGGTTGGGTTCACGCCGCCATCAAAGGAAGAACGGGTTCGTGCCGCCGTCGGAGGGAAGACTTGTCGGTTCGGCTCGTGCGACGAGGAAGCCGGGGGTAAATTATTTTCTTCAAGATCTGAAATTGAAATGTGGTTTTGGGTTTGTGTTTTTGAGAGAAAAGCCAGGTTGAGAAATTTGTAACGGATGATACTTGTTTTGAAGAAATTATGTGGATTTACGTGTGAGTAAGATTTTTTATTAGTGGGACATTTATTTTAAAGGTTCGTCTTTGAATCATGATTTTTAAGTTTTTATAATATATATTTTTTAAAAATGTAAATTTTAAAAATTAAAATTATAAATTATGATTCTGAATTAACGTTTGGATAGTGATTTCAACATAAATGGTTTGTAGTATATAAAGTTTTATTTATTTTATTGATTTGAGTTTAAAATTTGAGTTTTTTTATAGTAAAAAATTTTTAAAAACAGTTATATATAATTTTTTTATTACAATAAAAAATTCTCACATAAAGTCACATCTCAATTCAAATTAAAAAATCGAATCAGTGAAGTAAACATGTTTTCTGAGTTAGTTGATTTCGATGGAAGTTTAACGATGATACTTTCGGATCTTGCTTCTTTTTCGAATTTTTTTTTGTTGTTAATTGATTTGGAATTGCAAGATGAAGAGATTAATCTCTGAACACCGGCCTCTCAGTAACGTTTTGAGTGTTTGGATTTGATTTTGGTTTTTTTTTTTTTTTTTTTTGGTAAGTATTGATAATGAGAGTACCTTACGGTAGTATAGTAGTATAGACTAGTCACGCCCTTAAAAAAAAAAAAAAAAAAAAAAAAAAAAAAAAAAAAAAAAAACCCTTTTAAAATTTATTACACAAAAGGGGCA